TGGAGTTGGCAAAATATGCGTGCTTCTCCAGATGACACATCAGCCTGTCTGAGTTTCTTCAACTCTTGTGTTTGGTGTGTGTGTGAATGTTTCTGTCTCCATTTCTTTAAGTCTATCTTTGTAGGCATCTCTTTTCCACCTTCTATATTTGTGTAAAACCACAACACACCGTGAACAAGTCAAGTCACAGTGATTTAATGCTCAAATGAGCATTGAAGTGGTGTTCATCTCCTGTTTACAGCCCTGAGCCAGTGGTGCAAATTTTGCATTCCTATGGTGGGGGTGAGTCTCTCCATGAGTACCCACAAAGTTTTAATCATGTCAACAATCCTAGAGGCATGATTGGCTCAGTCAACCCCCAATCTGGGTTTGAACCTGCAACCTTCCAATTACGAGCTGTAGTGCTGAGCCACGAGGCCAGATCACTTTATGCGATATAGTTTGTGCTCGTTGCACAATTTTGATCTACGTTCTTCTGCCTGCCTCTGGGTGACGATAGGATCTCTTTAGTACCTTTTTTCTGCTTATGACTGTAGCCACTTCTATCTCAACATCTCTTTTTATGTATGCCTCTCTTGTCCCATTTCTCCATGGCTGCCACCAGGTCTATCTGCGATGTGTGCTGTTTCTATCTCTTACTCTCTCATTGTCTATACGTGTCTCTATGTCTCAGCCCCCGTTGTTTATGTTTTAGTTCCCGCATTTTCCTGACCGGTTTTATGAGGGCGAGCACTTTTATTTTTTTACACTTGCTAAGCACAGCCCCAAAGGCCCAAATGCCAAGCGGCTATCAATAAACAGCACCATCACAATTGTATTAGATGAGAGTTAATACGTTTCTTAAATTGAGCAACGATATAAGAGCTTGGCAAAATAAATGATGAGAGAGACTTCCAGAGTTCAGCAGCGCGAGAGTAGAAGCAGCACGAGAAGTGTTTTGACTTGCTGCATTTTGGATGATACAAAGTCAGTCTGGTAGACTGAATCCTCAACTTGGTTGGAGGAATTTTGATATAAAGCTTTCGTGACTGCAGGGATTCATATTCTTGGTTCTTTGGGTAAAGTCACGTAGAAGGGAAACAATAAAATAATAAAAATCTAAAACAAAATTATCACGACGTTTCGACTGCAACACAAGAAATCATCATCAGGTGTGAAACCCACAGCAAGAAAATTTGAGGAATCATATCTGTGAAGTCCCAGGAAGAGTAACCATGGTCGTAGTGATATAAGTGTGGTGAGGAGGCAACTGACTGCCCTTGAGCGAGTGACGAGTGAATTATTGTGCGCTGAATCATCAATCAACCCGACTGCTTGACACTGAATTATATCAAGTACAGTGAGGTAGCAACTGCTCCACCCCAGCTCTGACAACGTTATCCCAACTTTGGCCGAATCGTGCTTCATGTAGTAGTAATAATTGTCAGGAGTTAAAGAAGGATTTGGAAAAGGAGAAAAAAACTAAGCTTTTTTAATGCCTTCTTAGCCAGATTAGTAATAGAGCCATTCCATGACAGGTCAGGTGAGATTGTTGTGCCAAGCAGATTAACAGTTTTACTATGATGGAAGGAACTATTTTATTTTCAGTCCTATGTGATATCATTGATTGGGTGAGAGGGGTGGAACTGAGCAATTGTCGAGGTTTGACGAATCAGAGGGAGTGCAATGGACATGCATGTCATAAGCAACTACAATCATATTTTGTCATTTAATTATAATCAAGGCCTAAGAAGAGACCCTTTAAATGTAGCTTTTATGTGCCTCTCGCTTCGTGTCCCCTCCGACAGGGATCACAACACACAGTGTTCTGAACCACCGGTATTGACTGGTATTGATTTTGAAATCGTAATGGCAAGTGTTGCCATTGTTTTTAAGTGTGTTGTTTTTTTAAATGACTGTAAACTTAGAATGACCAATGCCCATTATGGGATCACTTAGACTGCCTCCATCACCTACCCATGCCGATACTTGAAATATTTATTTCCCCCAGTGACAGCTTATGTCTCTCAAGTTAACTCGGTTTCAGTGGAACAAATTTTGTATCGTTAATCCCCTGATAAGTCTTGTTGTTAGACAGTAATAATTACACAAATTGAGATGTTACTGTCAAACATATAAACAAAGCAGTTATAGTTAGGACTTCATAACAGTTTCAGTCATGAGTTCGGTTTCCTTTTAGTTAAATGTTTTTCTTAATTTGCCATTTTCATTATTGTTAAAGAGTATAGGTAAAAACAATGCAAATTATTTAAATTCCGATTGTAAGCATATAGTCGGTTTATCTATAATATGTACATTTTCAAATATTCATATATGTTGCCATTTGAATAATAGCTGCCTGTTTTCTGTTTGGCTGTGTCTGTATAGCCAGCCGGGAATGATGTCAAGGTGAATAAATAAAGTTGTTTTAATAAGCATATTGTGTTGAGCAGCGTGGGCCACTGTAGAGATCATATGATCACCAAGTACTTCACGCTGTTCGATCCTATGTTTACGCCAGGCTAGTGGTTCCTGGTGGTGCTGCTTGTCTTTTTTTTGTTATTTTATCTCTTGCACGCTCTTGTCTCCCTGCATCTCCCGCATGAACCCTGCGTCTTCCTTTGCCTCAAGCATGTTCCCTCGAAATCCACCAGCATTTGTGTTTCTCCTAGTTTGCCTACATATTTTGCCATGCATCTCCATGTCTACTTGTGCCTCCTTGCAGAGTTCTCCATTGCCCTGTTCGTCTTTCCTCTAAGCTCCACTGTAATGCCCCAGAGCTCATGGAAACAGGATATGACATCTGGCATTTGCAGATAATAGAAGGAACAATTGAGAGAAACACAGATAAGAAACGTTTTTACTTGAACTTATTCACAACTATTTTTTATACTGTATACAAGTTTGTACCTAGTTGTGGTTGGGTAGCAGAGGCTAGAATAATTCAAGATGGATAATAGATAAGGGGCTTACACAATAGGTCACTAGTACTGGTAGGAACGAAGTTGTAAACTGAGTGTACCAGCCTGCAATAGATTAATGTGTCCGTCCGTCCCCTTTCAATACTTTAACGAAGTGAAATCTCGTGCTGTTGGGTGTAAAATCAGCAATAGACAGCGCAGAGACTTGTCCTGCCAGCCCACCCTGCAGGGACCTGTTTTTATGTGAAACAAAACAACACACGCTTCAATAAGCAATTGTGTTTACATCATGTAGCTGTGTAGGAGTCACATCACATGATACCATCTCCTTGTCTTTCCTTTCTCTCCCTGCCTCTTGTTAAACTTGCCTTTCTTCTCCTCTCTTTTGTTTTAATTGTCCTTTTTTTCCCCCATCTTTGGTAATTTTTTTCAGGCCTGTAATACAGAACTTTGGAAACAGGTTTAGTGGCTTGGTCAGGTTTCATATGTGATCGTCCAAATCACAAAAGGCAACGAGCAGCCCAAATAATTATTGATATCTGTTTTGCAGATTTTTAGAATGTCATTGCCATGTATAGGTGGGTTTTCTCTTGCTACTTGGTTTCCGCCCGCAAGCAAAATACTTGTATAGCAGCAGGAAAAGATTAAACTAAATGAGGTTTTTCTTGATACATTTTACTCTCATCTTCGAATATATTATACAGTAAAACACTGGCTAGGTGGATTTAGCATTTACCTGGACCAGGTCAGCTCATTAAAAACACACACTTTAAAATGTAAATTAAATTCAAAGAAGTGTAAAAATAGAATAATAATTTCCATACTAGACATTTTGTTCAGCGCACATGTTGTAAGTGCTGTACTTTTTGGTCCATACACAAAGGCATACACTACACTACACACTAATGAATGGAAACATTACATGTACGCATATGTGTAACACATACACATATGCATCTTTATTACACATGTTAATTGCAATTGCAGCTAGCAGGTGGTGAGAATGGCCCCGGGAAATTGCACCACACAAGTCAATTAGGGTTTCTCTTTGAATAGGTATCTCATGTAATACTATACACTTTTCAGTCATGCTTTATAAAGAGGTGTTCATCATATTTCAGTTTTCCATTATATTTACGTATTGCAGCCCTCATCTGAACCAGGATTAATTAAGTAAAACACGATATATTAATTGTTTATTGCACAATCATTGATATTCGAGTCAAAATCATTGAATCACTGCACGTGATAAACTGGTTCAATGGTGGCTGAAATCCTGATTTCACACTCAGCTTCACAGTGGTGCTATCTCAGTGCTCGACCTAGCCATTATGAGACTTTTCAGCAATCCAGAAAGCTTTCTGTGTCTCCATGTTCTTTTTTCCTCTGTATGTTAGTATATATTCTACCTGGCATATATATGCTGCCAAAATATGTACGGTTAAAAAAAAAACAAATCATTCTGTTGTATATACGACTTCAATTCTACATTCTCAAGTGAACGTAACCATTTAATGACATTTATGGTACTTAAAATTCAATATTTCAAATTTTCATGTGATATGAATTATCAGTGTGTGATAAATGGACCGTAGATGAATTTCTACGTCAACCCGAAATGAACGCCCTATCACAAGATGGAATATGCAAACAGTTGTACCTCACAAACTTGATGATTATTAACCCTTGTGACCAGATTTTGTGAGTGCTGGAATTTATTTCTATTACTTGGTTTGTATAGCTGCATTTTTATGTTTTAATTATTTGAATGGAAGCATAATTTTCCATGAATGGCCATTTTACATTTTATTGACCTTAATATGACTGCATTACTCTACTGATGCACAATTGGACTACTTGGCAGACTTGAGTTGAGCCCCATCTGAAAATATGAACTCGTAACCTTTTGATTGTAAGCCAATTTAGGTCATCTGCACTCGATTTGGCCGTTCATCCCTCTGGTCAATGATTATCGCTTTGTGGGGAAGCCAACAGTGAGGATATGGAAAGATTCAACTCCATAAAGTCATTTTGTCATGAGCACCACCCCACGATCAGCTGAGAGTGAATCCACTTTGAATCTTCTTTTTTACTTGGCAGATAGTGGACGGCGTCACCACCTCCCATTCTACGACTGACGACGCCCTTGGCATGAGCATGGTGTCCCGGAGTGGCAGTCCGGGATGTGAAGTGCATGGGGCGGCCGCCAAAGGAGACTTGAGGGGCAGCTGCCTATCGTCATGCGAGGACTCTGCTCAAGGTGGCCGTCTACCCAGCAATGAAGTGGTGACTGAAGAAGCAGCAGAGACGGTGGAAAGTGAGGGTGAGGGTGAGGATCGAGTTGGGGAGGTTCTTCTTCGCGATCCACGATTCCGCACAGCCTTGCGCTCACACTCGCCCACACGTCGGCATACCTGGGAACCGGGAAAGCGAGTGTCTTGGGAAGACACGGTTGGCCACCAAAGGTGAGTTACCATGCCTGCAATTTCATTATGCATTTTTTTGTCATGTGCGAATGTGTCATATTTGTCTTTATATATTAGATACTTGTGTACCTTATTAAACTGTATATACAATTATGTCATTAAGTGTGTTTAAGTTTCATCATCATCAGCCATAAAATGTTTTGAAGCTGGACTAGACGAAGCTAGAATTTAGAATAATCCAGAAAACATACTGTAAATTTCATTGATTAAACATTAAAAATAAATCCACAAATTCTGACTGTTTGGGTGCAAGTTAATTTGTGCACAGTAGGATGCGACATCATGCAGTCAATCTGCACGCATCAGTCTCATCATTGCTTTGGCTTGTGACTTCATCATTCCATATGCGTTATATCGGGTGCGTTCCCTCCTAGTGGTGTCTGCACTAAGCCCACTTTTCAAAAGGCAAAACGAATTATGTGAAGATGTGCTTGTCAACACCAAGTTTAAATAGTGTGCACTTGCAATTATAAAGTTTTATACTTACCAGTTGTGTAGAATTTAGATAACCCATAACTTTGGGCGCCATGCTATGTTAGTGCTTTCTCTGTCATTTGTCACATTTTATTTTTAGTTTTTTTTTACAAATAAAACTTTCAAACCTATCAGAAAATCACTTCATCATTCCATATCCAGTGAACCTCAATCTTGCACCTCCACGTCATCGTGATGCTGAGTGACGTGGATTATTAAATGAAAAATATTCAACTGTAAATGTTAGTAAATTATTATGATTTAATTAAATGTATTTGTTAATTACAATGAAATGCAATTTATTTTATCTTTAATTATTTGCTTAATGCCAGACATTGCTCAACAGAAAAGGCTCTTGCAATTCATTTGACTTCGAGAGGTTTAACTTTACGTTAAATATAGTAACAAGTATATATTTAACATAGCACTGGAAAGGTGTTTAATTGATTAGAAATTAGGTTTTACTTCCACTCCATTTTTCATCCACCATCTCCATAAATTTTAACTTAGATTGAATCGCTAAATTCCGAGGACAAATCTACATGTTTCATTTATAAACTAATGATGCAAACTATATATATATTTTTTTACAATTATAGATATACTTTTGTTTTGTAGGTGTTACATTTGTTTTTAAATTAAAAAAATGCATGCAGACGTTTGAGCCAATACTAAATTATGGATTTAAAGATAATTTCCCCAATTGAAATATTCATCCAGCTTTTTAAGACGTATGTCACTGGATGTTTGTATCAAACTATAGTAACCTGAGAGGTACCATAATGATGACATCAAAGGAAGGCCCATACGTTGACCCACGCATATGATCAATGCACTTTCACCAGCTGTGAAGGGGAGGGGTAGCAATCCCGACAGTGAAACTCCCGCGGCCTATCATGAATGCTTGTGGGGCACTGGGATCAAAAATGATTCACTTGCCAACGGATATTGCTCGGTTCACAATGTCACCATCGTACATGTTGACCTGGCGTTCATGGATTTCTTGCAAGATTCATCCTCCTTGAGCAGAAATTGTATTGCTACACCATGTTTGACCTTCACCTCACTTTTGAGCCATTTTGCTCAGTGACATTTCATTTGTATAACCCTTCATATTTGGAACTTTGTTTAACAAGCTCTGCATGCTCCATTCCTTGACGTTATCCCTAAATGAATCATGTTGTGTCATTCTGCTTACAGTCCATTATCTTGTTGGTTGATCCATTCTTCTGAGTATTTGTCCTTTCTGTTTCTCCCATCTCAGAGGCTTTTTAAGAAGACCACTGTCTCACAAGCGGAGGTATAAAAGTGTGACCTTTTGTACTTGAGGCATAAGTTTTTCAAATTAGCACCTCGGAAAGTACATGTATATATTGTTTAAGATGCAGTGATCATACTGCCTTTTAAGGGAGTAAAAATTACTTATTAGCACCAATGCTGTTGTGTTCCAAACCACCAAGAGATACATTCACATTTTTATACTTGAAATTACAAATTATGTAAACATATTCTTCCGTAAGCAATTGGACAATTTTTATTGCTTTATATTAAATTTCAAACCTCCACATTGCCTCAAGGATGTTCAATTTAATCACTTCTTGTTGGTAAGCCTTTGAAATATCAGCTGGTGGCTCTTGAGCGACACATTGTTTGGTGTTGGTTGGAGCTCCAAGATCTATTCCTATCCCTGCATGCCTCTGATTAATTTTCCTTCTGACAACTAATTCTGGTGCCTGTCATGTGACGTGCCTTGTAAAAATAGTGTCTAATAGTATCGTCAATGCAAATGATTCCTATCCACATTTCCGCACATTCATTGAAATCCAGTGTGAGACAATCCATCTTTGCATACTTGTAATGCTGTACAAATCTTGACTTCAAAAGTTTCCTATTTTGAACAGGTTTCACCTTTATTACAGGAAGCAATAGGGATGTGAGAATGGGGAGGTAGTTAAAGACTGTTTAAATTATGTGAACAATGTAAGCAGCACAAGTGTTTAACTAAACTTCACTGAAATAGTAGTAAAGTCAACATGTGTGTTATGGAGAAGTAATGTTCGTCTCAATATATGTTTTATAGAATTCTACTAGAACAAGCTAGAAAATAATCTATGGCACTTGGAATACACTGTATTGAAGGATGTTTAGAATTGTATGCAGGATAAGACAATTGACTTGGACGTTTATAATAGATCATGACGTGATGGGTTGGCCATGTTTTCTGGATGGAGGAAGGCACGTCACCGAGACGGCATTGCAGTTGAACCCAAAGGCCATAGACAAAGGGGAAGACATACAGCCACTTGGTAGACACTGTAAGAAGGGACCTTTGAGGCCAACTTTTGACTGTGCGAAAGTTTGCAGGAGCTAGCAGATGGAGGATAGCTGTCGGTTAGTCGGGTAGCATCACGGCCGAGAGTCTTCGGCAATGACCATGAACTTGGAATAAAGTTATTGCTGTTCACGCAACACTTGGCACCTATGAAATGCATATGTACCAAATGTAATCGCCGATGAAAATGCATTGAATGCCCATACTAGTTTCAATTAAATGCACATGTTTATGTTTGTAACAGTCTATCAACAAGTTAAACAAAAACAAAAATATCCGCATGTTCTGAAATCGCAAACAATACCTCAATGACTCTGCTTGTTCTTGTCACCGTTGTCTCCTGACAAAGCAGTATTTGGTTTTGTGTTCCTGAAGGGACATTTTCCAACTTTAATAGTTTCCTTGAAAAATCATCAAGAGAAGTGCCTTGTCAGGACTGGGTCACTGGTGTTACTATTCTTTTCTTGTTGAAAATCACGGCCTCGCTTTGATTGGGTGTTTCTTGGTGCTTTCTTTATCTCTGTCCTCCTGGTGGTGTCTTCTAAGCTTCAGTTGGTGTCCTGTTATCTTGGAACCGCAGGAGAACACTCACCATTTACACAGGTACCAGCATTGCTAGCAACACTGTCCACTGGCCATTCTGTATTTATGTCTGGTTGTATTTCAATTGCATACTTCTTGAGGTGAACTCAATGTTTTTAATTCCACCTTTTTCAGGTTTCAACAGATTAATTTGAGCCATACTTGTGGGGCATTTGCTTTGAATTGCATTTTAAGAAAGGCATGTATTAAAACGTGTATTTTGTACAAAATAAACGTGTAATTATTGCATTACTAAATCGCTTAGTATGAATTATACAACGTGACTTTATCATTTTTAATTAAATATTATACTTTATTTGAGTGAATTCTAGATATATTACAATCTACAGTACATCAATCATGTGTCTGCGTGTATGTTACTCTGTCTCTGTGAGTGTATTCATGTCTCTGTGTCTCTGAGAGTGTCTCAGTATCAGTGTGTGTCTCTATATCTGTGTCTCCTTATCTCTGTCTCAATATCTGTGCGGGTCTCCATGTATGTGTTTGTGTATTCATGTCTCCGTGTGTGTGTTTCTTTCCCTGTGTTTGTCTATGTATGTGTGTCTCCATGGAAGCCCAACTGTGCATGTACAAAGCGAGTGGGTTGAGAAGGCTGGGGGTGGGGGCTGACGGCTGTCTATCATACTGTGCCACGACCAATGGAGACGGGTGGGCAGGCGGTGGGGATTGGTAGCTTTAGGTTTTTTCCTTTCCTATAATTTAGAAAAGTATGCTATACATTTGGGACTTTGCTGAGGCATGCTGGTGTGCCACAGCATGCCAGTTGTGGCGCACTTTTATAGAGTAAGCAATAATCATTAGCATAAGAAATAATTAATATGTGTGGGCCCTTAGATATGATTACGTTGATTAATGATGTTACCTCACAAACTGCTCCATATGTTTCTATATAAGGACTGGATATTGTATGCCCCAATATTCCATCCTTGCCTTGTTACTCTTTCCAGTATATCTCTTCCTGCTTGATAAAATTATCTCCAGTTTTAATGTTGATCCTCAGTAGTATTCTAACCCAGCTCTACATTGCCGTTACCTCGATGAACCCAAACTCAGTGTACTCTCTCGCATCCTGCCTTGACGCAGTGTCATCTTTGATTGGTTCTAACTTCCACCACTTAAATGTTGCCAAAACTCATTGGCAGATTTCACACCCAGTAGAGGCTCCAGTTTGAGCATGTTCCTCCTAAACTTAGACTGTGAAATCTTGAAGTTGTAATTGATTTCAGGCTATCATTCTCTAACCACACATCTCAACTTTGCAGGACCTCATTGCTCCATCTGTGCAGCTTCTTCCATGGCCACCATTTCCTTATCACAGCTGCCACTGTGACCCTCTTCCATGCCTTCAGCATATTCCAACTCAAATACTTCAATTACAGCCTCATATCCCTTATTATTTATTCAAAATTATGCAAAAATGCTGCTATCAGATTTCTGACAGTGGCAATTTCAAAGCCAGCAAAAAGGTGTTGGACGAGTTGTGATTTGTAAACAATATTCATTGACAAATCACTTGTAGACTTGCTATATAAGCAGATATACTGTATAGCGAATGGTAATTTCCACATGTTAATCTTGATAATCTTAGAACACTCTACAATGCCTGAATAGTTTCACGAGGACTTTTTATAGTTGCGTATTGATGGAGTGTTTTATTTGAGGACTTTATTGTCTTGCAGTGACACATGACTGAGGCATTTGTATTGCGTCAAGTGTAATAAATTAGTTTTTTCAACACATGGATACATTTTCTGTAAAAAAACACTGATTTAAAAACGATTGTTGGTGTGGGATAAACAGAAATATAAACCTTCTTTGGCTGGTAAATTTGGGGACTAACCACAAATTTAGTTTGATGTAACTTGATGTTTTTGAAGTTTTACAACTATCAGTACAAAGTGTGTTCTGCACTGATTCTTGTGTTTAGTTTGTTCGATTAGCATTGTTAGCTTTGTATGGTGTGAATAAGTTCAACATATATAGAGTACACTCTACCGATTCTTGCAATGTTAATGCTTTATATAGGATATTATTAACGATCAGCCTTTGCTCGAATTAAGGCTTTAATGGAACTCTAATGTTGACTTAATCCCTGTGACTCTTGTGATTCCATACATGTGCCTACATTGTGTTACATTTTTTGTGATTTTTTTTAAAAATAAATGTTTTAAGGATTTGGTTACAGTTGTGTATAACAATTCAAGTACATTTTTAGATCACACCATTGTGTAGGTCATTTGACATGTCCCATGTCTCACAGTCATTGTCCTTTGACACTTAAAAGGACAATAACATTGAGAAACTCTTGATAAACTCTTGATAAACTGTTCATTGATGATAGGGAGCCGTTTGAAAATATCACATGACTCATATAAATCTCAAAGCTATGAGCACCTTCCATTGTTATAAACTAACAATTAAGGGAAGGACATTTCTACATAAAGACATAGCACATCAAATGGATGGAATATTAGGCAGTCTTTAACACAGTTTAAATGTTTTTATCTTTCTCATGATTAGCGCTGCATTTTAATTTGTATGTTTCTAAATATTTGCTTTGTGGTATACTCGAACTGAACTGTTGGGTAAACATTTTTAATAGTGACTTTCTTGCAATCATATTTATTAAATCCCAATTTATCCAGCAAAGACTGACTGAGTCTCAATACTTTGTTACAGGAGGATCCTGCTAAGTTTTGGCAGTCATGGGTGATAATTATTGCTTCCCAATGAAGTAATTTGGCCCAATCGAATGCTACTAACTGGAATGTGGCACTAAAGCTTTGCTGCTCACTGTACATATTTTATGTCTATGCTTTTATTACCTTAAATCAACACACAAAGATAACCTCTCTAGGCTCTGGCCATTTCTATTTAGGCCCTGGCTCTTCCGCTTTAAGCCCCACCTCCTTCCCCTTTATGCCCCACCCTATTATGGCTTAGGCCTCACCCCTTTCTGATTAGCCCTGTCACTGAGGTACCATTGCCTTGTAGGGCTCTCCCTTTCTTCTTTACGCCCAACCCCTTTCTGTTTAGGTCCATCCCCTTTAGACAGGTTTGGGCATTCATGCTCACATGTCTTTTGATTTGCACTCTCATACTCAGGCCCTTCAGATGACATCCGTTGGGTTTCACTCCCTCGTCGAGGAGGCCGCTCTTCTTCTTTTCCACAGTTACATGCTAATTTCTCACATTAACATCATGCTAATCTCTCACATAAACATAGCCATTTCCATGCCCTCGTCAAGAAGGCCGCTCTCCTATCTTACAGTCACACGCTAATTTCTCACATTAACATCACTAGCCCCGGCCACTTCTTTATAACCCTTGGGCTACACCCATTGCAAACCTTTTAAAACAGTCTGCCTCAGCAGCAGACCATCGCTTTCCCACCAGATGATGGATGCTTGTGTTGTGCCCGAAACGTCGTGATTTATATTATTTTATACCTACGTGACTTTACCGACAGAACCAAAGAGTTAGGGTTGGGCTTGTTTGGGTTAAGGGTGGGGGTTGGTTGTGGAAGGGGGAGTGGTTGAGGGCGTGAACGTGAGAAGCAGTCGTAGGTAGTGGTTTGTGGGGTCTGTAGGTAGGGTTGACTAGGGATAGTCGGTTATGGTGGGTGGGTATAGTCCGGGTGGGGTGGCTTTATGACTACAACCAACATCGCTCGGAGAGAAATATCATAGTTCTGTTGAAAAATAAAGTAGGTTTATTTGGGAAAAAAGTAGTGTCATATCTTCTAAGCACAAATATTTAATTTGTCTCAGAAGCAGAATACATTGTTAATCTCTGTTTCGTACAGCAGTTAAGTAGCAGCATATTGATATCACTTTCAGATTTGTTCGAAGTGCATTGAGTTACCTGAAGCAAGGTACTTTTCCCAAAGTCACACTCATGAATACTAAAGTGAAAATTATATATTTACCTATGTTTAAACAAACCATGCAATTGGAAACATATCGGCATGTAACAATGTACCATTCTAGTTATATGATGAATTACGATTCACAGTTATACTTTGTTTAAAAAAATATATTTAAAAATATTGTGTCACAGCTCTATTGGTTACAGGGTCATATAAACATTTACAAATACAATTAATTTCAAATATTTGGCTCTTACGCACACAGTCATCTATCAAGAATTTAAGAATTGTTAAATTAATGGATTGTTACAGGCACAGAGATATAATATCTTAATTGCATAGTATCTGAGTTAATGTTTGAGTTCAGATATTATCTTTACATACCCATATTTACGTTGATATTTAATTAACATTACTTGAACAAAATATGCCTTAAGCTACAGCAGGTGCAGTAGTACACACAAACAACATCGTAGTATGTCAATGTGTCCGCGTTCCTGCAGATCGAATGTAATCTCCTTTCTCCCGAATGATCAGCATGAGCCTGGACCAGCTCGATGCAATGAGCCAGGTCAAAGAGGAGGCAGGACAGTGCGTCCCAGACGGGTCCACCCCAACTCTTCTCGATTTACGGAGGACCCTGATGATGGGAGGAACTCGTGACAAGCGAGATATGCAGACTCGACAGATGGAGAACTTCAGGCACAGCATGAGCTGTATTGCAGAGGTAAGTACTCAAGCACACACTTATATCTTCTGATGCATGTCAAAGGAGTAAAACTTTTCGATTTAAAGCTTTCGTGACTGCAAGGATTCATCTTCTTTGGTTCTTTCGGTAAAGTCACCACGTAGAATGAGAATAAAATAATAAATTGATCAAATAAAATAACACAATAATATTCTCACGACGTTTCGGCCACAACACAAGCGGCCTTCATCAGGTGAAGGGGACGAGACTGTCTGGAGGACAGCGCTGAAGGGACGAGACTGTCTGGAGGACAGCGCTGTCCTCCAGACAGTTTCGTCCCTTCACCTGATGAAGGCCGCTTGTGTTGTGGCCGAAATGTCGTGAGAATATTATTGTGTTATTTTATTTTATCAATTTATTATTTTATTCTCATTCTACGTGACTTTACCGAAAGAACCAAAGAAGAGTAAAACTTTAACATATAAATTGCAGAGATACTATTCAAACACATAGGTTACCTTATTTTTTATTTTCATATGTCTCAACTACTGGGCTGGTTTATGAGTAACAGTTTATTTAAAAGGTATTTGTCTGAGTATGAGAATGTTCTACCACTTCTAATCTTTTCAGGACTGGTACAACAACAGAAATCACTTGCTTAATTTTTTACAGGAATATCATACATTTCCTGTTTTGTCCGTAAATTGATTTTTTTGTTTTGGCATTCATGAATTGTTTTTAGTTTATGGGAATATATCTGAGTTAGGTCATATTTTCTTCAGTACAAATGTCATAAACTTTTGACATCACATTTATTTAGATACTAAATGGATGATACTTTATTTTAACAAATGGTCATGCGTTGTCTTTAGGTGCTGTTGTAGAGTTTAGATGTCCATGTATAGGTAATCTATTGTAAAAGAATAATGAAAGATGTGAAAACCTCTCTTCTGCTCGATTAAGGAAATTAGTTTATAATTTAAAGGAAATAAGTTTTAATCTCAAGGTAGTTTTCTGGCTGGAGGAGATATGTTTAAAATGTGCCCAAAGAGTTGTGGTCTGATGGAATGAAGTTATACAAGCCATACGGGGTACATATACTAAAACAAATTAATACATGCGTATGAGCATACTATTAAAATATTTGGGTTTTCAGATCGTTCTACTTATCCTGAACTTCAATGTATTTGTGCTATGTTTCAGCTTTAACGCTCCTCTGATCATGAAGTCAGGTTGCTTTGATTCAGGGTTTAGTTGCTTCATAATGCCAATTTCTTCATGAGTTCACATGAATTCAGACCCATAAAGTTGATTTGGGGTTATTTCTCGGTTGTGGCTAGATACATGTGATGCAATGTCTGCAGGCACTTATGTGCTATTTGATTATTGCCACAGGCTAAAGAGTCTCACACACATCTCAAGAATGTGTGGATGCCCAACGCCTCGCTCCGACACCTGAACCAGACCACACCCATCTCCCCCCTCTGCCGTTCCACGAAACCAGCTGCTGACAGTGAGAAACTAATTATGTGTTATGTACCGCTATAATAATGGGTTAAGTGTAAGTAATATATTTTTTTATTGTGAAAATAAGGCATCAGTTTGAGTGTCACTTTTGAAATCATGTTGTAACTGGTGTGTTGTCTCTTGGGAAACTTTAGAAACATTCTATTAACTTTATGGCCAACACCTGATATGCAGTCTGTAAATCAACTAATCTGTCTTTGTATTTCACTGAAAGGAACACCTCTCAAATTCAAACATAATACATGTATTTAATTTGCATTCGATGATTCCATGAGTTGTTACGATTGAGGGTCGCAGTCCAATTCAAGATTTGATTATTTTTGGTCTCAATTGCATGCACAATCTTATTTCCCTTAGCCAAAATATTACATTTGCATTCATTTCATGAATTGTAAATTATACATTCTTACAATATAGCTGTGATCAGCATGTGACCAAAATGGCACGACATCCATGTCACAAAATGTAATATATTGAATTTTGAATAGTTTGTGTCATCACTAATTCAATGGAACAGTTGTGCTCTTAGGAGTAAAGACACTAAACACACATGCACAAATATAAGGTGAGCATCAGCATGAAAAGTTAAATGAACAAATACTGTATTTGCCATGTGATATGAAAGTACACAGGTGTGTGTGCAGTGAGACGGTTGTGGTCTGCCAACAGACTAGTTAGATGTTTGTCACTTTATGCGTGGATGTATTCCAAGAAAAGGCAAACAAAGTGAAACATCACAAGGCAGCAGCTGCCTGCCGAGTAGTGCATACAGTACACATACAATGTTGTCCGACCGCATAGCCGCATATGAGTAAAATCAAACCGCATATTGCAAATTTTGGGTAGAAATAGGTTTGCCGTATGTATGTGAAATTGCACAAGCCAAAGCTGTACATTAATGCATGCTGTTGTGGAGACTTGTCCTAAAATGAGAACTTCCCTCCTCAAGATTAATTGTCATTGCTTACTATTGGATGTTAGTCGTTAAAATTAAAACAATATTTGCCGAGTGATATGACCATTTAATTAAAGCTAAAATAAAATCTGCAAATGTTAAAATACTCACCTATTTTATATAGTGCTATAAGTGAATACAAGTATAATGTGTCCTATGCTGCCGTGGTGTAGTGGCTTGCATACTGGACTTGCAATCAAGAGGTCACCGGTTCAATCTCCCGGCATGGCAGATAATTTACTTGTTTTACTTATCCAGGAAAGCCATTGCGACGTAGACTTTTCTTTTAAGAGTGTCCTTCATTTGTTTTTTATTGAGATATTTTCAGCCAATTCATGAGTGTTCATACAAGCGGGAGGAAACCAAAGCATCTCGAGAAAACATATGCGCGTTAGGAGGCAACACTCTTTCCACGTACGGATGGAAACAGATTGTGATTAGTCCACTGGCTGGTACTGCCCTCTATTGGTAAGAAAGCAGAACAGCAAATCCCATTGGAAGCGAGTGTCCAGTCCAACACCAGTACCGTAAGTAAACAATTCTAGGGCTGCACCTTTTCCAGCTTACATATGTTACCTGCAAGCTTATTACCCCAAATGTACTTTGATGTCTTTCCATCTTGGAGGCAAAGCAGGAATGAGCTGGGTTAGGAATTGAATCGGTGACTGCCAGGGCTTGCCAGGTGTTCTGATATTGAGCTGTGAGATTAGCTTACAGATTGTTCTGATTGTTACTCCCTCTATGCGTGGGCTTCCTCGAGCTTCTGTGGTTTCCTCCCACATGCCAAACACTCATTAATGGAATTGGCCAAACAATCCAATGAAGGCCTTCCTGAAAAAAATATCCTGAGTAAATTATTATCGTTTATTATTTTACTCCAAAAATACATCTGAAATGTATATTTATTTTCAAAGCACACTCAGTACAATTTACACAAATAGCATACAGTTATAAATCCTCCAAAGGGTATTACAGTACATAGCATCACCTATCTGTGGAAAACACGTTTTAAAAATAAACCCATTGTTTCCATGTTATTCCTGACCGTTTCCATGGTTCTGGGGCCAACACAAAGCAGGCGTTCCCTGCAACTGCCAGGGAGATCTCCGGCTGTCACTCATGCTCCTTTTCTTTTGCATTTTGTGTTTGTTCAGGGATGCGGATATCACTGCAGCCAAATGGTGTCACGGAGAACAGGTAAACCGAGCCACAGCCGGGGGCACGCTTGCTTTACAAGAACGTACTTCCCACTTGAAAATGGGGCCTCATGGGTGTTTACTCTGTTCACTTACCCTTCAAACTGTCGGCAGGGCCTCTTCTTCATGCTGGTCTAAAAACGTGTTTGTTCTGCTTAATTTCTCGTTTGTGAACATACAAACAGTTTGTAATGAAAGTCTATTTGAATGAAATTGTTTAGTATCATTGTCGTGTTTATGCATCTTGATAGATCTTTTGGTGCCAGTTAACAGGTGTTAAAAGCAGTGTGTATTTTTTTTTTAATATGCATGCTTCATCATCGTAAACATGATTTACAATTGGGAATGGTAGCATTTTCCGTCCCGGCACAGTTGGTTCAGCAGGCAGTCAATGAGGCGAACGGCAAGGATGTGGTATATGCACCTCGTATGTTGCTGAACTGGCATTGATAACTCCAGGACATGGCGGTAAGAGATGTATTAGTCCTGTCACATCTGTGTTTATAAAATGCTGATTCTAGTCTTACTGCTTTTACAATTCTGTATTGAATTGTATGTAGTCAAATTAGTTACTGCAGGTGTATCGTGACAGAGTAATTAAATACCACCTTGCCATGATGAAATGAAAATAAATCATAAAATGCATTCGAAATTCTAAGTCGTGCACAAACCCTTTCATTTGAAGAGGACAATCATGAGCCCAACTTAATTCCTTTAAATGTACACCCCATGTATCAATCTGCTGTTGGATGAGGGCCTCCACATGTCATGCAGATCATGGGTGTAACTTGACCATAGTGTACCATGCTGGTTATTGCAGGTTAGTGAAGACGGGTAATGGACATTGTGTGCTTTCCTCTGCTACACCTGTTGTATGCACCGTGGTCACTCGTTCAAGCAATATCCAGGCCAAAAGCTTGCTTAGCTTCCTGTACAAGGAAGTCTGTCTTTGTTGATAAAGTACATGCTCCCCATTGAATGTTAAATGGGAGGAAATTAAAGCCATTCCAGTGAACCTTATCCATGACTCCTGTTATCCACAGGTCATCTCTTCAAGATTAACACATTCACAGATGTTCACCCATCTGTAAATTTGTGGATAACAGGAAGACCTCAAATGCATTGAAAGATTTGGTTAATAAATTAAACTTGTCATCCATAAATAAACGATGTGAATTATGTTTTTTTACTGAAAGATCCATTTCCTTGTGTGCATACCCAGTGTGATTATATGCACTGTTTAATGCAAATCGCCCTGGATGTGCCCAGTCCTGTTATCGGAATTTTTTCCACAGATAAGATGAGTTAACTGTTTTAACAATTTATAGCCTGGTAAGAGCTCAGACTAAAGCTTCATTATCAAAGCGTTTTGGGTGTTTATATGTGAAGGAACCCCCCCCCCAGAGTATGCATACATAGAGAAATGTGTGTAATTTGTGGATTGTCATAGCTGCAATTATATTTCTGTCAAGTCTGGGTCAGAGCTAATGATACACTGCATTTTATTGTAAGCATTTCAAAACTCAATGTCTTGCATTGCTTATAAATGCTTTGGAAATGCGCTGTGGGAACTCAATTACAATCGACAATTTAATCAGCAATGGCTAAAGCAAATTATTATCTTCCTGCTGTTTTAATGAGTAGAAGGAAATACAGAATGCATTTATCCTGTTAATCATGTTATGTATCTGCAATTGCAGATTAGGTGTTTTTTTGTGGATTACAGGATATGTTTACTTATTTGTGACCATAATGCACACTTCAGCGTGGATAACAGGCATTTTGTTGTGTTGTTAAATCACGTGGAATATAAATGGGCTTCCAAGTGCTACGCATGAGTGCAGGAGAGTCGCGCTTGAATATTGGAGCTCTTGTTGCTCACTATTCTATAATAGTGTCGCTGTTTTTTTCTAACACACTTTAAGAGTAATCCTTGCACTGTGACATGCACTTATTCTATTACCAGTAGTAATGATACTAACACAAACTTTGACATTCATTTCATACTTCTAAAACATTTCTCACTAACAACCAAACTTTAGCCTACACACATGTAAAACATTTATTTTCACTTAAATATTGAATTTCAAGTAATTAGTGCATTCAGCAGTATTGAGAGTACTGCCCTTGTGCTCTAAGGAGGAAGGGTGCGGTTAGAAGCAGCTAAGTGGGGGACCTCCTGCAGGGATTTCCCTCTTAACCCCGGCTCATCCTGTCTCTGGAGAATACATTTGTGGCTTATTTAGATACGTTCTTTTATAACTTTCTCACTGCAGCCAGAGTAACTCAAATTATTGATCGCAAATTAATTGTTGTAGTTTGCCATCATTTTATGACATTGACAGATTTTTATTTTATAAGTTATAATTATGGTCGTTGTATTCATGCAAGGCTTTAGTTGTAGTCTGCTACTCCACCAAAAGGTAGAACTGTATTTTAACTGATCAGTGTGTGGCATTTTGTATAGTGCTCATGCCACTAGCTGGCTTGGTTCCAAGGAAGACGGAATGCAAGCCGTGTACGGTTCCAATATCTCACTCTCCGAGGACAGGTAAATAGGTTATTTACTGATACTGCAATATTCTACATGCACCGTGTATTGAATATAGAGGCAACCCCTGTTGTATATTTTTTAGAGTCCGTTTTTTAACAGTGTCCCAGCTTCAAGCACAGGATGTTGGGATGGAGTCTCGCTAAGATGTCTGCTGTGTGTTTTGAACCGTATGTGGTAGCAAGTGCAGAGTGACTAATCCTGCTGCAGTATCGCTGACTATCAAATTGTATTAATATTCTATTGTTAAAGACATAGATATGAAAATAATTACTTGGTCTAATTTTTGTATAGTATAGTCTGCATATGAACATTGGTTGTGGTCACACATATATTTAAATTTCCGTGATGGCTAAAATAGTTTTAAGACCTTTTACAAACCATGATTATGATCATAGACCTGGATTTTTAAAAAATATCCTTCTTGGTAAGGAATAAACTCTATTGTAGAACAATGCAAGTTAATTTGATCTAAACGTTATCAATATGCATGGTCTTATCACTGTGAGATGAAAGGTTTCCCACACCATCGGCACACCTTACTGTCCTGTGTTACTGAATTCAGTCTTGCACATGATTTGATCTCTTTACTCAGTCTTTGTGGTGTTTTTATTCTCCTTCGACTGCCATTGCATCACTAGTCTTATCCATTTCTCTTCATCTTTTATAGAAATGTGTATATTTTAATATAGTAAGAAAATGTTATCGCCTTTAAAAAACACTCAGTATTGCTCCAATATATTAAATCAACTCTTATATGGGAGCGTCTCACCCATTTGAACCCAACTTGGTTTTATTTTAAATCAGATTGATAATACAAGTATATTCATTTGCATATACATTGTTTAACGTGAGGATTCTGTAAAATTAAAACAAATGTGCATAAACGTATTCATAATTTACCTCTTATGTGATTGTTAAAATTATATTTTCAGGCAGAAGTTAAGTTTAATTTTAGATTTTAAACCATAATGTTACTTCACAATTGTATAGCTTCCATTAATTTAATCGCATGTAACAGAAGAGTATAGCGGCTTCAAACCAGGCCTCTCAACAGGGATGAAGCGGAAACTGGAAGGAAAGGCTCTAAGAAGTCCGAAGAGAAGGGGGGAATTGGTCGGACCTTCAGTTTTCTGAAGAATCGCATGTCCAGCATCCGTGAGAAGAATAAGGTGAGCACCTCCCTCAATACAGAACGTAATTCCTTGCCAAGTGCAAAATAACATGACGAGGGCCCTCGTATAAACGCACTGGTTTTAGAAATCCATTAACATCTCCAGTCCGATATTTAAATAAATGAAGCAAAGGGGAGGATAACTAATGTAAATGTTCACTCTTTGTTATACTGTTGTGCGTTATTAAATGAAACAATTGATAATAACGAGAAATAAAAATATATCAACATGTCTTATACTGTCATGCTGCCACTTAATTTTGTTAACAAGCCGAAGTAGTTGCCTACCTTGGACACACTTATTTTGTGTAGGCTATGGCTGAATACCAAAATGTTTACTATTAGGCCAGATTTCATGGGTTCTTTTTAATTTGCTTCATGGTTTTGAAGAGATTTATTTGATTCGTGGATTTGCTTCATAGTTTCAAACAGACGTTAAAAATTATGAATATTATTTCAAAGTGTAACTGAACACCATTACTTTTAGCCCAAATTTGTCTAAAGTCTGTTGAGACACACTCTCAAATTAAAATATCGAATGTACTTACCAGGCTGCCATTCCCAGTTGTGCACGGTATGTGGTTCAATATACATTTGGTTGACTGAACATTAAGGAGCCTATATCATAACATTTTAATGAAAGTTCAGCTGGAATTTATTCCAAGGTGAGGTTCTGCAGTATAGTCATTCGAATCATGACAAGGTGGCCCTGAGGGAGGTCTACCTATCTTTTAATATGCCACCTCTGTCTGCTGTGAAGCACCATGGCTTGTCACATTAGCCTATTATAGTGTTAATTTTTCTGTTGTAAGATGGCAATATTGAGGTACATGGTAAGTTTTTGTTTGAATTTGTCTACCACTGACAAAGCAGTCCGTCTTCAGGTTTTTTTCTGAGATAGATTGTTGATAATATCTCTTATTTTTTTTATCCCAGAAAGTCAAACGGACTCACAATTTTCAGAAGAATTCTCCATTCTAAGAATAAGAATATGACAGAACCTCTTGCAATATTTTCTATATTCTTAGCTCTTTCGGTAAAGTCACGTTGAAGGGAAACAATAAAATAATAAAATATATATAAAACAATAAACATTCTCACGACGTTTTGACCATAACACAAACGGTCGTCATCACCTGATGACGACCGTTTGTTTTATATATATAATATATTTTATTATTTTATTGTTTCCCTTCAACATGACTTTACCGAAAGAGCTAAGAATATGAATTACTGCAGTCACGAAAGCTTTAAATCAAAAAATATTTTCTATGTTAGAGGTAAAAACTAAAACATCCATGTGGATAGATCAGAGGGTTTATTGTGATATGCTTACATTGTACTATCCTGTGATTTATTCTCAAACCTTGGAAATTTAGTTGCAGTGTTGAAAGGAATAGGTTACATCGATTCCTTTCGTGTTACAGAATGTATCATGTTACTGGTGGCTGAGTGTGATTCACGCTTATGCTGTTCAGTATGGTCTCTTCAGTTCCAAGACATTAATTTCGTTGACATTTATATTTCGTTGACATTTATGTAAGATTCTGTAGGACATCAGATATAATGCATGCATTATCTTTTGAATATTTTTGGAGTCTTATATAAAAGCTGGTCATCACATTTTCCACGAAGAAATTAACAGTTTATTTAAGTATCCATTGTGCTAGTAGAGACATGTTAAAATAAACAAAAAATATTGTTGTGATTGAAGATGTATGGGTTCTCGCTTGCAGCTATTATAATCTTATATATCATCTGCTGACATTCATAAGCCAAGTTGTATTTTATTGACAGCATATTTAAACAATAAACTAAGAGCAGTCGAGTGTCGTATAACACTCCAGTAAATTCCACGAGGCTATTATTTTCCTGCTTGCACATTACTGATTGGCCGTGTCGGGTGGTGGAGGGTTGCGACACATTTATACTTACGCGATCTAACCCAAAAGCCTTTATTATGAATAATACTGGTCGCGAAAGCCTACGTGTTAAACATTGTGTCTGAATATGGACAGATACACTCCAGTGAGCACCTATGACTAAATCACCCGGAATGTGTTCGATCTCTTCAGATCCCATAAACTAAGCATAGAGTGAGGGAAAACAGTATTTGATCCCCTGCTGATTTTGTAGGTTTGCCCACTGACAAAGAAATGATCAGTCTATAATTTTAATGGTACATTTGAACAGTGAGAGACACAATAACAATAAAAAAATTCAAAAAAACGCATGTCAAAAATGTTATGAGTTGATTTGCATTTTAATGAGGGAGATAAGTATTTGACCCCCTCTCAATCAGAAAGATTTCTAGCTCCCAGGTGTTTTTTATACAGGTAACGAGCTGAGATTAGGAGCACACTCTTAAAGGGAGTACTCCTAATCTCAGCTTGTTACCTGTATGAAAGACACCTGTCCACAGAAGCAATCAATCAGATTCCAAACTCTCCACCATGGCCAAGACCAAAGAGCTCTTCAAGGATCTCAGGGACAAGATTGTAGACCTTCACAAGGCTGGAATGGGCTACACGACCATTGGCAAGCAGCTTGGTGAGAAGGTGACAACAGTTGGTGCGATTATTCGCAAATGGATGAAACGCAAAAGAACTGTCAATCTCCCTCGGCCTGGAGCTCCATGCAAGATCTCACCTCGTGGAGTTGCAATGATCATGAGAACGGTGAGGAATCAGCCCAGAACTACACGGGAGGATCTTGTCAATGATCTCAAGGCAGCTGGGACCATAGTCACCAAGAAAACAATTTGTAACACACTACGCCGTGAAGGACTGAAATCCTGCAGCGCCCGCAAGGTCCCCCTGCTCAAGAAAGCACATATACATGCCCGTCTGAAGTTTGCCAATGAACATCTGAATGATTCAGAGGACAACTGGGTGAAAGTGTTGTGGTCAGATGAGACCAAAATGGAGCTCTTTGGCATCAACTCGCCGTGTTTGGAGGAGGAGGAATGCTGCCTATGACCCCAAGAACACCATCCCCACCTTCAAACATGGAGGTGGAAACATTATGCTTTGGGGGTGTTTTTCTGCTAAGGGGACAGGACAACTTCACCGCATCAAAGGGACGATGGACGGGGCCATGTACCGTCAAATCTTGGGTGAGAACCTCCTTCCCTCAGCCAGGGCATTGAAAATGGGTCGTGGATGGGTATTCCAGCATGACAATGACACACAACACACGGCCAAGGCAACAAAGGAGTGGCTCAAGAAGAAGCACATTAAGGTCCTGGAGTGGCCTAGCCAGTCTCCAGACCTTAATCCCATAGAAAATCTGTGGAGGGAGCTGAAGGTTCGAGTTGCCAAACGTCAGCCTCGAAACCTTAATGACTTAGAGAAGATCTGCAAAGAGGAGTGGGACAAAATCCCTCCTGAGATGTGTGCAAACCTGGTGGCCAACTACAAGAAACGTCTGACCTCTGTGATTGCCAACAAGGGTTTTGCCACCAAGTACTAAGTCATGTTTTGCAGAGGGGTCAAATACTTATTTCCCTCATTCAAATGCAAATCAATTTATAACATTTTTGACATGCGTTTTTCTGGATGTTTTTGTTGTCATTCTGTCTCTCACTGTTCAAATAAACCTACCATTAAAATTATAGACTGATCATTTCTTTGTCAGTGGGCAAACGTACAAAATCAGCAGGGGATCAAATACTTTTTTTCCCTCGCTGTAGATTAACCTGGATAGTGCTTCCCGATAGGTGACCACCTTACAATAAATACTGTAGGTTGTCACAGTGCTTGTGGGGCTATGTTATGGGCAGCAGGGGGCAGTGCAGTAAAATGTTTTGCTGTTCTGTGTTTCTAGACGGTACTTGCATGTCTGTGGCTTTCAACCTTCACCACCCCACACTGACCAACACAGTAAAGTACCGGTAAAATTACACCCACATACCTGCACAGCGTGTGGAGGGCCCTCATTCAGCAGTGGTCTGTCAAAAGGACTACCAGTCCTTAAAAAAATACAAATACAATTTTACCCAACCATGCGTGGAAAAGAATGACAGTCTATGGAACTTCTGTATCAGCATGAGACATCTTTGGTAAGTAAATTAATATCTACACGGACAGTGCCTTTAACTCTTTTTAACTACTCAGCTTTGTGTATTAAAAATAGTTGTATTTAAAACCAAAAATAATTATGCACAGCATCCACTGCCAACTAGAATGCTTGGCTTAGTTCACGCACACACCGAGTGGGTGCTGCCCTCTTCGTAGCAGCATGGTAGCTCTCTGTAGACCTGCCTCACTCTGTAGTCCTGTCTCTTGCTTTGTGCTCCTCTGTGGTGGTCATTTTCACAATTTTTGTCCTTGCTTTCGTGTCCTTGACTCTCTTCAATTTTTTTTGTCTTTGTTCCTATTTTTTATCCTTCGCTCTATTTTGTCTTTCCTACTTGTTCATACGGCAGCCATCGACACCCTCCAAAGCAGAACGTATGAATACCATGCTATGCTGGGAACCCAGAAAACTCGTACAAAAATATATGAATCTGGAGGTGGAGACATGAAGGAGACATCACAGCGACACACTCCGCTGCTCCTGACGCGGTTGTCTGGCTTGACCACCGGAATGTGAAATTGTATTTGTTGCTCTGCGTCTACATCAGCCCTAGGAAAGAAGAGGAATAAATAAAAATGTATTATTAAGGTGGACCCGGCGCTGCCTTTATTTGGGAGTTGCCTGACATTGGCAGTGGAAGACAAAGTGGTGGCACAACTTTCCCCAACTAGTCAGGGGGAACCAAGTGGGATTGTTCAGGGAATAGGTGGTGTTGGGAGCAGACGCAAACTTGTTATGTTGGGGAGCCTGCTGTGAGAGACGAGCTCTTCAAGGCCAATGGTCAAGCCAGAGCATCAACTTTCATATGCTTTAGCCCTGCTACAGCTTAAGGGGGTCGTGGCATGAAGTGATGTATTGGCCAGGTGCCACGATGTAATAGCGGTGTGAATGGTGAACAAACAACGGTCCCCCACATTCGAC